TCGCCCTCCGACCCCGCCACGAAGGGGTCCGCGCGGTGGAAACAAAAGCGCGTGAGGATGATGGCATCACCCGGAGCCATCTGCGGGCAGTCCTTCACGCCCTCGAGCAGAGCCGCCTTCTCGGGAGCCAGCTCGTCCATCCTGCAGGTGTCGAGATAGCTCCTCGCAATGGCCTCCCTGCAGTCCAGGTACAGGTGCGTATGGCTGCCCCGCGCCACTGCCAGCCCTCCGCGATCCTCCCCCACCGGATCCAGCGCCAGCCACACGTTCACGCCAGGACCGTGCGGCTCGTCCCTGGGCGAGGGCCAGAACCCCTCGTCGTCCACGTGGAACTTGCAGCCCGGGTTGGCCCCCGCCAACCTGAAATACCCGTCCCGCAGCACGCACATCTCGCGCCGGCCGGTGTCCCCGATTGGCGACGGCGTCAGCTGCGCTGCGGCCGCCGCCATCCCCGACGACACCGCCAGCTCGCGAAACACGGGCGCCTTTTCCCACAGGTGCCATCCAAGTCTCGCGTACATATCCGGCACTAAGGGATTGCCCTCCAGGGCGGCCGCGGCCTCCCGCGCGCGATCCAGGAGCTCCCCGGAGACCAGCCCGCGGGCGATTACGTAGCCATCCTGGTAGAAGGATTCGATCTGGTCGGCGCTGAGTGGCCCGCTGGTGGCCAGGGGCCGATCGAGCCGCACCAGCTCGTAGCCGGGCACGGGCGGGCTGGGCGCTTCGGCCGTTCGGCTCGAAGCGAGGGCCAGGTGGCGCGTCGGTCGGCTTGGCCCGCCGCCTGGGCGGGGGGCGGATGGCCGCCGGCTCAGCGGCGACGACTTGCCGGCTGAAGCACCGACGCCCAGCGGGTGGTACAGCGGGTGGCGCGTGGAAGCCATGTCCTAAAGGTGGACGTGGATGGGGTGGGCGTGGGGCACAGCAGCTGAACGTTGAAGGTCGCCTTACACGGCACACGCCCGCAAACCAGAAGAGTGACGCAAGCACGGCAGCCGCTGCCTGCCCCTCGCCACTCCTGTCACTTCTGACAGAAGTCTATCTTGGGCTTGCCGGGTCACTCTGCATTACACTGTTGGTTTCAGAGCCCTTCCGCATCGGAAAATCTTACCGTTACGCTGTTTGCTCCGCATTTGTTTTTCAGAGCGTTATCTTTATTGTCTCACGTTGCTCCGCACAAATTTCATTAGAAGAGCGTTATTTATTTTATCGGTTTCTCCGAAAAAAGGGCAAGCATTACGTTACTATGCGGAATGGTTCAAAAACCAACAGTATGTATTCGTTTACGGCCAATCCACGCCGACACCAAGCAGCCTCAGCGAGCACCAAGACGCCTCCTCCCCAGTGGGGACCGGTCGTGGATCAGCTTCTATTTTTGTGTCCGACTGGACAGTTTGTGTCCAAATTAGATTTCTTTTGGATGAAGGGCTCAAAGCGACAGAAGAGACCATGATTTCTTAATTTGCCCTACAGAAAACTCCTGAATGTACTTAAATCAGACAATGTCTGGCGAGAGAACCCCCAACTGGCCACGATTCTGAGACAAGAGAATCAACGGCTCCCCAGCACTGGACTAGAGTTGCCCACAGATGCAAGTGGTACAACTGCATGGTGGTACTGCCTCCATGTAGTTTGCAAAGCTGAGTAGTACCTGTACACAATGCAATAGGCAACTTGCCACAGACTGCACTTGATGTGAACCAATGCATCACCAGGTACAGAGACCGTAGTACAGGATCTACCTTGCAGCAGATCACTGTCTTGGATATGAAGCCACACACCTTCGTGTAAGGTTACTGAAAATAGTGCGCTGTATGGATGGCAATGTGCCTTTTGGATGTACTGTGTCTGGCAAGTTTTGGCCCAAACGCTTTAAGTCGAACAATGTGTTTGGCAAACTTTTGGAAAGCAGCCTTGGTTCGGATGTTGTCTGGCAATAGTCGACAAAAAAGAAAACTCTGTCGCTCATTGAGAGCACCAGGGAATAGCTGTCGCCAGGGGGAATGACAGTGTGATTGGACTTCTCAAATCAGCAAAGCAAATGCGCCAGGCCCATTGTTGAGAATTCTTTTACTTGAATGGTTAACTCGACCCTTCTACAGAGTTTGCCCCACAACTCCCGTCAGCTTCAACCCTCACCACAGCTCCTTCAGAGCCCCCTAAGAGCCGGGCCGGGCCAGCCCCGTTGGATCAGGCACGTCTATCAACTCACAGCTCATCATTACTTCCCCTGGCAATGGAGGATAACGGGAGCATCACCGCCAAGGAACACTTTTGGGTGAATAGGCGCCGTCGGCTCTGGCGAAAACACCCAAGAAAATCGCAGATGTGATGATGATGGCCAAGACCTCAACAAAGTATTGAACCCAAGGGAAATGAACCTCATAGATGCAAAACCGCACGTAGCCAGGCTGGGAGAGGCTGAACACGTACCCAAGTAGCGTTGTAGACCATATGAAATACAGTGAAATGTGAGGTGGGTAACACAATTTCAAGCGACATGCCGGACTTGGGAGCTGATGAGGGGGCGGGAATCGATTCTGTCGATATGAATTCTGAGCAAGCGCCTGCAAATGCTGGTGAGGATGCGGAGGTAGATCTTTTAGATGATTGGCTCGCAAATTGATGTCGTCAGTCAAGCCTGGCGCTTTGCCTGGTCAATGAACCAATCACAGATTTGTTTTCTGCAAGGGTGAAAAAGAATTCACCTGTATAGGCGATATAAGAGACCCGAAGTGGGTGCTCCCCCTTCTCAAATGCAACATTAACTTGCGACTGCAATTTGAGCAACTGCTTGTATTTATTTTACAAGGACAATTGTACTTGTATATTATGTCAGTGCTAAACCGATGCTCTTACACAAGGTAACCGACTCCACATTGCCTCATATGCACTCGGAACGTTAGGAATTTACGCTCAGACATTGCATATATTATTTCAATTCCCACATCAGGGCTGTCCAGCAACTTGCAGCAAGGGGGGAGCACGAATATCGCTAATTCGGTTTCTCTTCGCTGGGCTGCACATCAGCTCTGTCCAGCTGTCGATTACATGCTGACTGGGAGGCTCGCAGTCAACACCACTTGCACATACTTGTTTCCATACAGCAACACTATATCTCATGATCAAATCCAGCACTTAAATGACCAACAACGGCCGAATTCCCTGGCAGTGTGCCCTCAACGTTCCTTCCAAAGTCTTGGCCTCAGAATGTTTCCGGGAGACACACATTTCGCTTTTTGAGGGTTTTGTGATCCTGTTGGAGCATAAGGCCAGCGGCGTGTTTTGTGGTGCTATCTCTCGATCCAATGGGGTCTCCTACTTTGTAAGTTTTCCCGCACTGGGCCACACAGCGCTGCAGATCGGCAGTTGCGGAGCAGTTGCTTGGGAGCTGTTGTTGGCTCAGCGGGCGATAGGATTCACTCCAGAGGCAAGTGCACTTTTGAGCGAGCAGCGCGCCATTCCAATTTCTGGCTTGCAGACATTCTTTCTTGGTGTCTTGGGTAAGTTTCCATGGGATCTGAGGCAGTTGTGACCGCCGTTAGAGGCGTGCTTTTAGAAGCATAAGTGGGCCTGGAAGTGGCCCACACAAACTGGATTCGTGCACTACATCAATCAACGCCATGACATCATGTCGATGCATCCATATAAGGAATAAAAAGGCAACACTAAACGAACAGTGGCAGTTGCGTGATGCAATGAGCCAAGCAGACCAAAGAAGAGTGAACAAGTGACAACGCTGGGGACTGCGTTCATGCCATCATATCTTGGCGGTTGGAAGGTTGCAGGCCACACTTGAAGGCCCCTGCGTTGCCGTGGACCTGTGCAGCTTCCAGCCACATTGACCTGTCGGACGATGCCACAGTAGCAACGATGAATGGCCCAAGGAACAAAGTCGCGAGGACACAACCTAGTATCGTTTTCGTTCATTGCAAACAATGGATTCCTGATTGTCATAATTTGAAACGCGATTGAAAAAACTGGCGGTGGCAAACAGTATGTGTGTGTTGCCGTGCATGGGAGCACTGGATGGCTCTGCCTTCCGTTGGAATTAGCTGCTGTCGCCAGATCCTGCAGCCAGCCCTTATCCTTTGATATCCAAGGTTGCCAGGATGCAGTACTTCGTCACGGCCATTGCTGTGACCATTGGGACTCCCAGGGACAGCGGTGCGCACAGGATGGGCGCACAAGGGAGGCAAGGGAAAGCAATCAGGCAAGTGATAAAATAAAGACAGGTTGCAAGCAATGAACAGTGTGCCCAGCTTTCTGTTACCGGGACAAATACACTCGAGTCCTGCAGGTTGCAGTCTGTCGACACAACAGATTGTTGGCCTCCATCTTGTAGCTCCGAATTCTGTGAACTCTTCTGTGCACAACATTTCGTGGGCCGCAGTATCGAATGCAAATCTACAATAGAGGGCCCCACACTGCCTTGTGCGTGAACGTGCGACTTCTGTCTTTTTAGAACAAGGACGCTGAAGATGGAACTGACGAAACGGCCAGTTTCGACGGTGTTACACTCGCTGCAGATTGCAACGAAAGAATTGGCGACAAACAATGATGAAATCAGCGGCATCCAGTCCCATCAGTTCTCTCACAACAGTCTAACCTGCACCATACTCTGGAGCAGCCCCACTGGGCAGGAAGCCATCAAGGCAGGAGGCAACCACCTCTAGAGAGTGCGGGCGGGGTCAGAATGAATGGATAGAGGGCTAATTCGTGTCTGAGTGCGACCGTACCAGTGGCCATTCATACGAATATCACAACCATGTGATCTAGACCTTTACCACCAGCACAGAAGAGGATTGGCAATGAGCAGAGCTGTAACACCTTCAGGCGAGGTATGCACTCCCTGGTTTCGAGTTTGGGTAAACAACAAGCCTGGACACCACTACGATCGCCTAGCGGGTACATTGCCCAAGTCGAAAAGCTGTGTTGTGGGCAAGCTGTAGTACTGAGCAACCATGGCCTGGGGATGGAGGTCTGGCTGCCCTCTGGCGCCCTCATCGGCTTGTCTGCGAGTCATAAGGCTGCACATTTCGGAAATCGAGGGTGTGAGGAAGGCCATCCGCTCCCCTTCTTTTTGGTGCTGTGTTGACCCTTGTCAGCAACTCCTGTTGCAGCAGGGTGCTGCCCTCCTTGTACTTTTGCTCCCCTCGGCTCGCCTTGATATACCGCCAGCCCAGTGGTGTGCAGCAACTCCGGCAGCGCACATCAACAAGGGTGTAGTGACCAGTTGACAGGCTGCAGTCAGCAAAGTATTCAACAGATTCAGCCTGGGCCTGGTCTGCTACATGGGATGGCTGCACATTGTTATGAATGCATTTGGACATCTCTCAGCATGAGGCAGAAGCACTACATGTCCTGGTGTCGACAATCCATGCGATTTGACTGACAATAACACAACTGCCACGCATGGCCATGCAGAAATCGATCTACTCAGGTCCATAGCATTTGAGCTCGTTTACAAGTAGGGCAACTCTCTCGACCCGCACTTGGCCACATGCTGTTGTTCCATTGCTGCTGTTCTGGCTGTGCTGGCTGTTCTGCCGTGATGGCCTGTACTGGTATTCTGTTACTGTTCTGTTACTACTACTGGAGTGCTACTTCTGTATGGCCTGTGAAAGGTGGCTACCAGGTGTTGTGAAAATGTGGAAATGCATATCCAATCTATCAAATTTCATCACTTTACACCACCCCATCCACCATACTCCCTCCTACCACCATCATCTGTTCCCTCGGGTTTGGGCGGACAATGCATCCATGGGATGGAATTTCAGGGTTTGGATAATTTGTTGAGATTGGCCATCACAGGGCAGAGACAATTCAGCTTTGGTTCTCCAATAAACTTGATCAAACTGCTCTCGATCGCCTTGCAAGTGCCATGGCATGAATTGTCCACATTGGTTTTGCACTCATCCTATGCCAAACGAAGGGCTACCACGACTTTCTATATTGGGAGGTCCTGGAAGAGCAGATCAGCTTCTCGCAATGGAGAAAACTAAGCACAATTCCCCTACAGAACAGACACCAGCAAGAACGTACAGCAGGCGTTTGACACCTAGAGCCATCTACTTCGCTGAGAGCAGTTAACACAGTTTGCGGACCAAAAACCAGAAGGTTGTCGATGCAAGGAATGGGAGGTCGTTCCATGCCACGTTGTTTGCTGTAAACCCCACTGACATGAATGTCAGCGTTCCCTTGGGATCAACCACAACGCACATTTATGCATGGTGAACAGGCAAACAAAAGTAAGGTGCGAATTTGGTGGCTACTGGGCTTGCCATTCCATCAATACTGTCGTTGTCTCAGCTAACTCCCAGGAAGTTTTTGTGCAGAATATGTGTGGCACATTTATGGTCGCATGGCACTAGTGGTGATCTGGCCAAAGCCGCGTGCGAGCTGCAAAAAGGTTGAGCCAGAGCTGGAATCGCCACTTTGCAACACCAATGCAGTCACTCACAGTTGTTCTCTCTCTGGCGAACAGGCTTCCATGTTCACCGTGTTCCGAAACAAGTAGGCGGGCTGCTGCGCGGCCATGAACCCCTCCCAGATCAGGGAGGAGCCACTTGCCACCTCCACGCTGTTCACACACCAAGCCAGGTGTCAGGACACCGAAAAGAAGTGGAAAAGGAATTGAAAACAGAGAGACGCTGTTTGATTGCATCCTTCAAATGTGACAAAACACAACACAATGATGGTTGTGCGGGCCTTTGCTGAACTCAGCTAAGCAGGCAGCGTCTGTTCACTGGCAGTCTGAGGACCTCACAATGCTTGTGAAAAGAAAGGAGACAACAGCGACACTAGAGGCTGGAGTCCCAATAGCGCAAATCTTGCCCAGGGCACACAAAAGTCCCCTTCTATTGTAACAGAATCTCTTATTCAAGGTTGCCTTGTGCGAACCATCATTCACCTATGAGCAAGCTGAAAACCGTTGTGCAGTAAGCAAGGTGGAATAGAAGCGCCCCGCGTTGGCAAGAGTCGGGCATGGCGAGGCTGGCAATTTCGGCCTGGGCCCCTGCCGACCTGTCCACGCCAGACGGCCATCCAATAACTGTGACCACTGGTCAATGTACCGTACACTCCAAAATCAAGCTACAAGAACGGCTACAGTTTCATGACAGAGACTGCAGCGCCGATGCAAAGTCACGCAGGGCTGTGCGTCAAGCTGCCACAGGAACCCATCCCCTCCCGACGAAAATTCCACGCGGACGCTGCGAACATGACCCGTGCCCAAGCTTCGGGCCGATGTCCGCTCGGGGCGGACACTCCACGGAGGCAATTCGATCGAATCGCAACTCGACCCTCATATCGAATCCAAAACTCAATCGCGAGCGTGATCGCCGCGATCTGTTGCGAGCCCGTGGGTGGCGATCTGACCGAGCCGAGCGCGGGGGGGTGCCTCGTGACGCGCACCTGCATCGGGAGCAGACGTAAACGGGGCCAGCTCCGTCGCCCGCCCACTGCGCCCAACGGACGGCCCACCAACCCGGGCGTCAGCTCAGCCTCTCCCCACCCGGCCCGCCCACACCAATCTCATCATCCGCCGAGTAAAGGCACCGCGAGGGGGTGGGGCTTGGTGTTAGGACCGTCGAAACATGCGCTGGGCAACGGACCTCTAGGTACAGGCGACCCATGGGTGGCGCGCCTCAGTGCGTGACCTCCTGCGTGTGTCGTCGAGGCTTCGAGTTGTTGGGCCAGCGACTACCAAGAGGCCGGGGATCGGCCGGCGAGAGGGGTGGGCCGAACCCAGTCAGTTGCGGAGGGCGGACGCCCGCTGGGGGCCGGCCGACCTCTCTGTCCCCGGGCTGCATGCGAGCGGTTTGTGCAGTCCCAAGAAAGGCCATGCGATTGGCGATTGCCAGGGAAGGTTGAATGGGTCCACCGCAGTGGCGGCCCCTGTATAGCGCCCTGTCGTGACATGGCCAATAGGGGGGGCTATTGGGAGACGGGGGCTGTTTGAGAGTAATGCAATGGAACATGCACCACAACAAAACTAGTTACCTTCTTCTATCTCAATTTCTCCTTGAAAACGACTACGATATTCTCCTTTTACAAGAGCCTCCTTCTTGCATGTTCACTGGAAGGCAGGTCCTCAATGGATTCGCGTTTTTTTCTTCCACGGTTTCCTCCTTGTCGCATGTTCCCTCACCTGCGAATTTTGCTAGATCTTCCTTTCATCTTCGGCTGATTCCAACATCTTCTGACCGGATATGTGGTGGTTTTGTATCTTCCCCTTTTGGTCCTATTGCCCTTATCTTGGCATATATTCGCCCTATTACTGGAGATGGCCTTTCTGCCTTGTCCTTGTTAGTTAGGCAGATTCGCCCCTCCACCTCTCAGCTCGTTGTGGGAGCTGATGTCAATGGTCACAATGTATTATGGGGACCGCCGGACCAACCCACCAACTCTTTATGATAGATTGTTGAAGATTTTGTCCTTACCCACTAATTCATTATTATGAACAAGTGGCTATCCTCTCCCACATTTACCTCTGACCAGGGGTTTGAGTCTTGGATTGATGCTACCTTGGCATCTTCCAAAATCGCCCCCTACATTCATTATTGGAAAGTACTCCAAGATACCGTTCTGGCTACAGATCATTCCCCTCTCTCTTATTCCCTCTCTCTCGACATCCCTCGTTTTGTCACACCCTCTCTTGATTGGCGGTATGTATGTTGGTCGTACTTCAAATCCTTTCTTGCACAAGATGTATTTCTTTCACTACCACCTTCGACTCCTTTACTTCACCCTTTAGATATCGGCGCTTATGCCTTGATCCTTTCTTATTCTTCTCAGAAAGCGATCACTTCCTATATCCATGTCAAGTGTCCATGCAGGTTCTCCAGCCCATGGTGGTCACCTGCCCTTTGAAAACTAAGGTTGAAGGTTCTACAGTGCAAGAAAGCGTAGACCAAAAACCCAACTACTGATAACAAGTGGAAATAGAACATGTGGGGATTTGTATTTTCTTAATCCTGTAATAGATTTGTCATATTCTTAGCTTCTATCTCCTTTTTAATACTGGACCTCGCTGAGGCAGTACTTTATTGATTGTACGCTGATCTTGACTATGCGTGAAGCCAATTCGACTTTACCTTACCTTAATTACTTACCCTTTTGCCCTTTTGCTTCCAGTCGAACTTAGACCAGCTTGTGGTCTGGCAAATTAAAGCATCCAATCGCTCTTACTAAAGGTTTTCTAAATCGCTATATAATCAGTGTATTTTTGCGAATTCAATACTTTAGTCTATACTGCAGTATAGTAGTGGGAGCCCCGAAGGCTTCCCCACTAAGTACAGGGCCGGGTCTTGGACCCCGCAAGCTTCCCCAATGGATCCAGGCCAAGGGATTTATCTAAATTTACAGTAGGTTTGGGGCCCCGCATGCATTCCCAATAAACCGAACTATAATTAGTTAAATAACCCTTTCAGTGAGACAAAGAATGAATCGGGAAAATCCGAAATTGATTACACTGTGGTCTTCCGCGGACCACAACCTGTACTACAAAGTGTAGTTTAGTTTCAGTCTTCCAAGTTCCTTTGCCTATTGGCTCCGGAACTGGACACTTTGGATTCAGATATCCAAAGGGTCTTCTGCCTCTATATTTACAGCCTAGTCTGGCCGCCCCTATATCCAAGGTTCCCTAGAATATTCCTCAAAAGATTTTGATAAGATCTAGCTAGCTTCCTGGATCATCCCCTTCCCCTCCTATCAGCTTCCCGATCATATTCCTGATTTGCGCCTTGTCACAACGCCATTTCCCTACCGATCCTCGTAATTCCTAGGATCAGTTCTATTCCAATTAAAGTCCCCATCAAAACATCCTTATGATCCATCCTTCTCACTTTATATCACCTCAGGGATCCTTAAGATTCACCAACTGATTGCAAGCTTATTCCGATCCAACAATGATATATAATCGAGCCTATGGGATGCCCATTCAGCTCAGAAGTTTTGATGGACCACATGCCAGCCCTCGGTCCCATTCTCTGACACCGTAAGTAGGCCCCTCACCATCCACGACCGCCTCAGCACCCTCCTGACTCGGTCCCACAACCTGCCGTTCGATTGCGCACATGCCAAGTCTTTCATTGTCCGCGATCACCTGACTCCGTCCTCACCTACTTCCCCATGCCTTTATGACGGACGCTAGCGCCTCGATCATGCCCACCACCATTGATCAGACCTTCAAATCCAGTATCGCGTCTGGTATTCCATCATGCTGTGGACTCCAACATCCCTTGGGGCCATCGCAGGTCCACTTGGGCATGCAAAGTCTATGCATGGCGCGATAAATCACGGCCATGTGGGCAGCACCGCCGCGCCAATTCGACTTTGCCATCATCATCGCCCTAGCGCCTTGGCAGCCGCGCTATCGCAGCCATGTTCAAGTCCATCGCTGCATATCACCACCATCGTGCGTGCACACCTGAGGCGCCCCACAGCTCAGAGTCCAAGGTTGCTATACAACATCGAAGGCAGCATTGACACATGGCACACTGCGGCAGCTGAGGGCGCGCACCCAACATACAAGATGGTACCCATATATTCGTCCGTATTAGGTTGATATGGGTGGTGTGTACTCCACTCAAGGGTGCAGCGTGAAGGGTGGGGCGGGCATAATCACACATGATAGCCCGTCATGCTGTCATGTAAGGGACCCAACATTAAGTTCAGGCCAAGCCTGGCCCACAACGGGTATGGGCAACCTACGGCCACTTGCCATAGAGCTGAAGTCATATCATAAAATAGCATCAGGTCCATTTCCCTATGTTATCATCCCGTTCCTCTCCATTGGACCTTTTATCGACCATGCACACGCTCAATACACTCTTCCCTGTCACAATCAGTCAAAAGACTGATTTTACAATGAACCTGGCGCCCGTCCAGGGCCTATCTTTTCATGCCACCTGCCCCCGGCTGGCATGGTGGATTCTTTTGGTGTTTCATCATAAGCATGCAAGCGAACACAACCAGTTACTCCCATGGACTTGTGACAGTAACCAGTCGCGCATCTTTTGACAATATCTTTGATGCCGTGCGATTCAGCAAGGTCCATACTTGGGGTGCCCATGGATCAACAAATTTGCACTCAATCCCAGCAATGCGTCACCATCAAGGCAAACTATTCCAGGTAGTTGAATCTCATTTTAACGAACTACTGTAGTTCGTGATGTGTAACACATCACATTCCTTCAAGGCCTTTCCCTTTGCTGTCATACGCTTTTGCTTTTGGGCCCGTATATGGTTGCTTATCATGAGACATCACTTCAACCCAATTTCACCACCCGTTCCTGATTGTTCTGAGGCCTAATACTTGTTTTTTTGTTTTTCTCCTAATCATAGCGATATGCCACTTGTACGGAAGCATGTTTTGGGTCGTGTTGGACCCGGGTGGACGCCCTTTTCAGACATTGTTTCAGCAATTTCAAGGCTGCATATTAGTGTAACGTCCTCAAGGTGTAACCTTCCATGGAGCATGTTGCTTGTAGCATGCATTTACTATTCATTGATGCCAGATTCATGCAACCTTCAGTCACATATATAATTCATGCTCAACCAGCCTCACAACGAATGACACTTCCCTTGTCTCCTTTTCTGTTCATGGCCAGCTATCATCTCCCATTCTTTCTATCCCCACTGCCCACCTCAACCTATTCAACCCATTTTCTGGCGATTCTCATAACCCATAATCTAGGAACGGTTCTTGCCAGAAATACCGCAACACTTTATGTGCGTCTTCTTGACTCTAGAACTCCCATATCCGTTGCCCAGCCGGATCTTCACACTCACGCTTATGATAGCTTCACCTCACAACCCGTAATTCTTAAGATAGCAGCACACACGTCAGCTTCCCTTTCATAGTCATGCCCCATCCGATCGGCATTTAGAAATCATTATTTTCTAATGCTAATCATTATATTTAACAGATATACATCCAAAATTTGTTGGAAGATTTCTCTGCCATTGAGTGAGTATCTTCACAAGCATATGCGGACGATTTGATTGCCTATTGGATATTACCCCATGATACCCTCCGAGATGCTAAGGGACCACAAGTTGCTTATATCCTTGGCCATTGGGCATACAGATGGAAGGCCATGTTTGGCTTCGGCAAATGTAAATACATAATGATAGGACGTGTCCGTGCTCCTCCAACTACATTCTCTCTTGGAGGCATTTTCTTGGAATGTGTTCCCTCGATGCGATATTTGGGCATCACGGTGGATTCCAAGCTAACTTGGGACACACACATCAGACACATTGCACACAAGGCCAAGACTAGGTTGCACCGTTTGTGTTAGGGTATGGCCCCAAAATAAGGATTCCACCCGATCATTGCTCGCCACATGATTGAGGCAACGATTCTCCCCATGTTATTCTATGCTTCTCCCGCATGGTCATCCACTATTCGCTTC